AGAGTTGTGCTGCGCAGCATCCTGAGTGCTTTCAGAGCCTTTGTGACCAGGCTGGGCAGAAGCTACTCGTTCTTCGTGAAGTCTCAGGCTGTTCAAATTCCCAGTGAACAAACTGATGTTAAAAGAGCCATCAGATGGCAAGGGAGGGCAGAAATAGCGGTGTTCTGCACATAGCAGAAGCCTTGGAGATGGTTCTTAATTTTGTTTGACTGCTGAGTGAATTCCTGTCAGCCTTGTTTCATCTACATCAGTAGACTGCATCTGTAGTCTCCTTAGAAGTGGAGAGGTTTCTTTTTGTACTTTCTGGCAGTGGTGTGTATTTGCAATTTTACAGAAATTATGAGTGACTTCAGTTTCAGTGTCTTGATATAATACCTCATGTCATCATCGGATTTTATTAAAAGACAATGCTTTAACAGCTGCAGAAGGCGCAGTCCAGGTACGTAGCGCTGCTCTCCACTCCCTCTGCTTATTTTGCAGTTTGTTTTTCTTTCAGCTGCCACCTCTTCAGTGACTCAGCAGTTTGAGAGCTGGTTTAGCAGAGCAGGCACTTCTTTTTTGTACCCTTTTGTTATGCAAGTAGAGCAGTAGCACTCCTTTAAAACAGGCAAAATATAACTTGGTCATGTGGCTCATACACAGCAGACGTTGCCATCTCCTTGCCTTCCAGCGGGCTAGGCAGCTGGCTCGACAGCAGCACTGCTGCGTGAGCACAGGGTAGGTGGTGTGTGTGCTCGGAGCAGGGAGAGACACGGATACGACTACTGTGATGAGCTGAAGTTTCTTGTTTCTTTTTTTCCCCTACTTCTATTTTCTTTTCCTTGGATGATGCCAGGGAACACAGCCCCCTTGTGTCTCTTTACCCCCACCCCCAGACGGAGCAGCAATATGCTAAAAGCCTATAGCTGTACATCATTTTTTGCTTTGTCCGAATTATCATTTACAAATGCTTTAACCTAGGATAGCGGCTGTAGACGTTAGCTTCGGAATTACCAGACTGGCGTGAAAGATAATTTCGCTGATGTGTTAGCTGCTTCACTGAGACTTCACAATCGGAGTTTAACAAAACCTCTATTTCGGTGCTGGCTGCCGTGTTCTGTGTGAATGAGCGTTCAGGAATGTTGCGTACATGTTACATACTTTCAATTTTGGGGGTGGAGTTTCTTTTCAGAGGGAACACGGATGAGGAAATCCTGTCCTCCTGTTTTGTCTCCAGCTTTGCTGCAACCATGATTTCTAGAATTTGCAGGTGTATTTTTCTGCTCCCCAGCCTCACCAAGGCATAGGGGTTTTAACAATGCGGGCTGATCATTGTCTGGTGGAGGAGATTATTGGGTTGCATATCAAATCAGAAATAGCCGAAGCATTTTGATACACTGCGCCGTCGCATGATGAACCCTTTCAAGAACACTTTCCTTGAGTTTGTCAGCCACTGTGATACAACAGCCACAGGGCTGCCAGGCTCGTCTACGAAACAACCTTTTTTTTTCCTCAAGACTTGCAGTGTAGATTCTTTTTTCACAGAGTCCTTTGCTCGCTCTCAAGATAAGAGGCTGCTCTTCAGCTGTGTTACCTTAGGAACCAGCTAGATAAACATCCAATAAAATCTTGTTTTCAGGAGTTTGATTCTGAATATCAGTACAAAATCTCAGGCTTATTTTCAGTAAGGCCATTTTCTCCCTCCTCCCATCTCCCAGTGTTCACTATGCCAGACAATAGCATTTTTTTCTTGGAGAGATGGTTATGTCAGGCTTTATTTTTTTCTTTTCTTCTCTCCCCACAGGAAATGCATTGCCTTCATTTTAGCCCTCAGGAGAAAGGATTTCTTCAACATACCTTCTTAATTTGAGATGCTATATGATAAGATACGAGATACTTTCTAATACATCATCATCTTGATAAACAAGGTGTGCAAAGCTTTATAGCAAGGTAACTTGGTTATCACAAGAATCTTTTCAAGAAAGAAAAAATTAAAAAATCCAGCAGTTTGTTGCTTACACACCGCACCATTGGAACTGATTTTTCCTATTGAATAAACCCTTCTGTTTTAATAATAAAATTAAGTGGTTCTTGAGATAGCCAAGTATAGTAAATAAAAACAACCCCTGAGATTCTAGAATATGCTTGATATTTAAAGTTATTAAATTTTTTTTCTTCTTAATATGGTAAAACTACAGCTGTTGAAAAATGTTACCCCCCTGTGGATGCTAGAGCATGGTCTCTTGCGTGGTAGCCAGGAGCTGAAAGTAGCAGGTGAATTTGGGAGCGGTGCTGCAGTGCTTGCGCTGCAGCTGAAATGTATTAGGGGAATTCATCAAAAAGTCAGGGAGGGAACAGCCCAGTGCTCCACATACCTGAACTTTTGGAGCGGTTTTCCACTAGAACTGTTGGAGTGGCTCAGAATTCGTAGAAAACCTGACAGTTTGTACATGCTGTTTTATAATGCTGCCTGGTAAAGGATAGTGTGGTCTTACTAGTTGACAGATTACACTTCTTGTTGAGTCTCTGTATCTTGAGAAGTAAACATGCCATGTCATGGATCTGAACATTTTATTTCATCTTCTGTTCCTTTATTTGCACACCTTTCTTCTTTTTCTTCTTTCTCAGCGAGAAACCATCTGGTATTTATTCCAAGTATTCTTGTGAATGATTGCTGCTTTCCTGGCTTGGAGGGTATCTTTTGTAGACTGTTCTGAGTAGTGTTTTGAAATCATTAATCCTGTGTCTTACACACAGGCGGTGAGTGTTGTTCTGGAGCTGATCAAGTAAGTTGCACAGATTAATACGATGCATGTTTCAATGAAGTATTTAATAAATGGGAGATTTTATTATTCACTTGTTGAAAAACCGAACAGCGCACATCTGAAGTGTGCCCTAGAGAAGGCCACGTGGTAGAATATTCTTGACTTAGAAACATTTAAATACTCCTCTGGCAATATATTTTGAATATTATTTTACTGTTTTCTGTAGTTTTACAGATTTCATAAACGAGTCTGACTCTAATCTTAATTTTGGAATTTATTTGAATTAAACAAATATAGAGTGCAAGAAAATTTTTTTGTCTTTAAATATCAGGATTGTTTTAACTAGAATAGTTTAGTCTAAGCAAGTAGGACACTTAATTCACTCTTGGAAGACTTGTCTTAGGTTCACTTTCTATGTGACTGAGTTAAAATTAATCCTGCACATCTACATTATCTGCAGAATGAGGGAGAAATAATCTACTTTAAACTTTACAGTACCATTGAGAATTTTTTTTATTCTCAGTATTTAGAGAAAATGATACAAATGCTGGTGTTCACTTTTTGATTTTCTTCTCTGAATGAAGTCACTTACAGCTGAAGTTTTTTGTTTTACCTGAGGAAAATTTTTCAGTGATGAAAAGATGTTGCAGAAGTGGGGAAGCAGACTAGATGTCCTCTTCCCGAAGTTAAGCATGAAATATTTTTCTAGTCAGCACAATTCAGCTTTTCATTCAGTTTACTGCATATGATTTATTTATTGGGTAAATCGGATAGTTTTAAAAGCAGAACATGTTTTGATAAACCCTTCTGGTTATAATTCCAGCACACTTAAGTTTCATTTTTATTAGTGGAATTAACTGTAGAAGGCTGTTTTCATACACTGTGAATTCCAGTTTTTGTCCAAATGCTGCCTGATGCAGCTCCAACTGAAAAACTATTGTCTTGTTAAATAAGGAATGTGCCATTCACCATTTTATAATGTACTAAATTTAAAAATTAATAATCAGAATAAATGTCTGCTTAACTATGTAATTGCTAGAATGACTATGACATATATTGGCTAGGAAGAGCCGTTTGTAATAGTTGAATTTGGCTGTAAAGCATGTTACACAAAACCAACAATAGTGATCCTTTCTTCTGGAAATTATATGTCCCAATGCACAAGAAGATTAAAATCAGCTATATAAGTTAGGCTTCCTGCTTTTATTAATTTTTACTTGTAACTGGGGTGATTGTTGATTCCTCTTTTGCTTTTGGTCAGTCCACCTTGGTTAGGTGTGCATTCACACCCACACAAAAACCTTCTTGACTGGATTGCTGGATTTTGGTGGTACTTTGCATATTTATGCTATCTAAGAGGTTAATCTTGGAATAAGTCAAACTGAGAAATGCTGTATTGTGAAGTCTGTACTTCTGAGTGATGATCCCTGTGCGAAAGCTGTGTACGCATGATTTTAATTCTGTTTCTGCTTAGAAACTGCTCGAGGTCCAGCTCTTTCTTCCGAAGACACAGTGACATTAAATGTTTGGGCATTTCTTGTTTTGTCCATGCAGTGAAAGAAAGCCTGCCAGTGCTGGAATGCTTTTGTTCTTCAGGGTGTAAAATTAGGATCATCCTTTAAGTTAAGGAGGACTTTGTATGGTTTTCAGCGACTATTAAAAGTTTTAACTTCGGCTTCTATTTCTTCTCCTCTTGTGGAAGCGATGCATTCAGCCATTCACTTCATACGTATGTGAACAGTGTGTTCATGAGGGCGGCCGCTGAGGCAGTATCTACGCAGTTATGTGAATGAGATCTCAATCCAGAGCTAGCATCGTGATCCCAATGTTGTAATAGCTGCAGCCTCTTTTGAAATCTTCCCAGTCGTACATGCCTGAGAAGCACCGAGAAGATTTTAAAATAGATTCATCAAAACTTGTAAAGGCAAAGTGGCAGCTCAAATAATAGCCTGCTGTGTGCACTTTCATTTCATCTGTCTCTATAAGATAAGGAATGTGGAATTTTGTCTTTTTATTGGTTATGTCATACCTCTCAGGTAATTAGTCTTAGCTTAGGGTGGAGGGCATGTAGGAGAAATACTTTCAAGGAAAACATGCAGAATCATACGATAGCCATGCCTGCAAAATCAGTTCAACATTATTATCGGTTTTGAATTGGAGCACCTCTAACTAGTTATCTACCTGTAAAGATTCAAACCTTTTGGTACGAAAACTGATTTGCCTTGTTAATTCTGCCTTGAATATATTTCCCCTTAGTCCTGGTCAAAGTCGCCCGTCAATGGTCTCATGGATGAATGCTCCATCTGCTAACCCAGCTGCCACAAGTACCGCATCATCCACTTTCTTCTTCCCTAACCCTGCCTCTGGGAGTGACGGAGCTGTGGAAAGGTATGATGCACACTTTAACTTTTCCTGGTTATTTATTTGCCTCCCTTTTTCTGTATCTTTCTAAAAACAGCTAATTCATGTCTTCTGCAGCATGTGAATGATTATCTCAAATCAAGAAATGCAACCTTAGCAATTTTGACAGAATAACATAACGGTCTGCTCTGTCTTATTTTAACTTTGAACACCTTCCTGGAGGAAGGCACCCAGCTGGAGCCAGTGGCTTGTCGGTTAATATCAGCAGGCTTTGGTTTGGGTGGCTGCTTCTCTGGAGACTTTCAAAAGCTGCCTGGATTTGTTCCTGTGTGACCTACTCGAGGTGATCCTGGTCTGGCAGGGGGGTTGGACTAGATCTCTGGAGGTCCCTTCCAACCCCTACCACTCTGTGAATCTCTGCTTATGGTACTTGGAGAAATTAGTACTTTGGGCAAATTGGCTTATTACTGAGCATCCTGAGAATACCTCTAAAAGACTGCATGAAGTGTTAGAAATCTTACTGTGTTTAGGACAAACCAGAATCTTCAGTAGTCTAGTAATGTTGTATCAAACAAATATAAAAAGTGAGTTCTGCACCATGATAGTGAAAAGCTGAACTGCAGGATTCATATCAGAAGATAGTGATGATTAGTCTATAAATTATAGTGATGATTAGTCTATAAATTAAGTACAGTGTGGCTACTATTGATCTTATTGCTGATTAGCACTTGGCAGTATTTTAACAGTAGTTGAAAGTCAAGTTTAACTATCTTAAAAACAAGTGTGCATGAAGTTGGGAGTATGATATTCAGAAATGTCAACAGTAAGCTGTGAGCCTTCAGCTTTGGCATTTGTGTAGATGAATTATAAGCCTGTAATGATGCATGTGAGATTGTGTTTGAAGTTTTAGTCATCTCCAAATGAGACTGGAGAGAGAATGGTTGGGAGAGTGTCTTCATAACAGTCAAAAATGACTATAACTTATACATTTAATTTTTCAGTGTTGCCCACCGAAAAGCAAGAGCAGTTTATCCATGCGAAGCGGAACATAGCTCTGAATTATCATTTCAGATAGGAGCAATTTTTGAAGATGGTAAGTACTGCATGAGTAAATGTAAAGCAATGGAAAAACAAACTGACAAAACTGCTATAACGGCTTTGGATAAAAATACAAGCCTAACTGCTGTTCTGCCAGTGTTGCTGATGGCACACGCTTGGTGACGTAGAACATGTCTGGTACGCAGGAGCTACTTAGCCTACACTTAGCACTGAGAGGCAATGCCCTTGGTTTGCAGTGAGTAGACGCTTTCAATTGGTCTAATTGTCCAGCAGTATTTTAATGTGTTGGAGTACCAAAAAAGGTTATTCAGCAACAGAGAAAAACAACTTGGCTTATGAAACTCTATTTTTTTTTTCTGTGTGTGAACTATCATATTTGGGCCTGTAGCGACAGGACAAGGGGTAACAGGTTTAAATTGAAAGCGAGGAGGTTTAGATTAGATATCAGGAAGAAGCTCTTCACAGAGAGGGTGGTGAGGCACTGGAACAGGTTGCCCAGAGAAGCTGTGGATGGCCCATCCCTGGAAGTGTTGAAGGCCAGGCTGGATGAGCCTTTGAGCAACCTGGTCTAGTGGAAGGTGTCCCTGCCCATGGCAGGGGGTTTGGAACTAGATGATCTTTACGGTCCCTTCCAACCCAAACCATTCTATGATTCTGTGATTCTATAAAATAACATATGGGCTTTCATGTAAAGAAAAGAAAAAAAAAATCTGTTTAAGGATTTTCAAGCAAGCAGAGTTCCAGGTAAATCAGGTGATCACTGGAGAGAAAAGGGAGTGGTTACTTTTTGGGATGCCTTAGTGTTTCCATGTACTTACTGTAAAAGGAATATTCACTGAGGTGCAGAATGAAGGCCTGCATTTAAACATTTCTATAGACCCAAATACAGTATTGTAGATGAATATCCAGAAGGTGATTCCTGTTGCTCCTTAATAAGCTTCCACGGCTCTACAGCAACTGTGCGGTAACTTCAAACTGACAGCAACGGTTTTAGCTTTTAAACCTTATGCCAATGACTATTGTAATTGAAAGTCTGAAGACGCAGAAGACGATGTTAGAGTGTAGTTTCCTCCTGTCGCAAGGAAATGCCTGTTGTAAGACAGAGATGGTATGGAAAGGCTCAACAGGGCCTGCACAAATTCAGCACTTCTTGTTACTTAAATGCAATTTAATAATAATTCTAATCAGAAATTAATTAATAGCAGGAGCATGGCAAGACCATTGTTTGTTGCAAGACCGTGATAAAAAAAGCTACATTCATACTAAAACCCAACAGGCTCTTAAGTTTGGCCAAATCTTCATCCAAGTTTTGTGCAGGATGGGAGATTCAAAGTGAGTTGAGAATTTGTTGTGGTTTAGGCCTAGCTGGTAAAAAAAGACCACGCAGCCACTCACTCGCTCCTTTCCTCCCCATTGGATGGGAAGGAGAAAATGTAAGGAAAGACTAATGGGTGGAGCCAAGGACAGGGAGGGATCACTGACCCGTTATGGTCACGGGCAAAGCAGACTTGACTCAGGGAAGAAAAATCAATTTAATCAGTTACCGATCAAATCAGAGTAGAGCAATGAGAGATAAAACCCCTTCCCCCACCCCTCCCTTCTTCCTGGGCTCAGCTTTGCTCCCCATTTCTCTACCTCTTCCTCCCCAGCAGGGGTAGGGGGAATGAGGGTTGTGGTGAGTCCATCACACGCTGTCTCTGCTGCTCCTTCCTCCTCAGGGGAGGATCCTCACGCTCTGCCCCTGCTCCAGCGTGGGGTCCCTTCCGCCGGAGACACTTTTGTGGTGAGTCCATCACACGCTGTCTCTGCTGCTCCTTCCTCCTCAGGGGAGGATCCTCACGCTCTGCCCCTGCTCCAGCGTGGGGTCCCTTCCGCAGGAGACAATTTTCCACCAACTTCTCCAACATGGGTCCTTCCAAGGGGCTGCAGTTTTCTTCTCCAACTGCTCCAGCGTGGGTCCCTTCCATGGGCATGTGGTCCTTCAGGAGCAGCCTTGCTCCGGCGCGGGCTTCCCAGAGAGTCACGGGTTCCTCGGGCACAGCTGCCTGCTCTGGCATGGGACCATCCCCGGGCTGCAGTGGGGGTGTCTCTGCTCCCCCGTTACCCTCCATAGTTAATTGGCTTGGCCTTGGTCAGAGGCAGGTCCAGCTTGGAGCCAGGGAAGCTTCTAGCAGCTTCTCACAGGAGCCACCCCTGTGGCCCTTCCCCTGCTACCAAAACCCTGCCACACAAACGCAACACAGAATTACAGAATCCTTAAGAGCCTTGTGAGTACTGAGCCCAGTACTTCAGTCAGTCTGTAGGCAGGGGCGTAGTAAGAGACACACTGGCTTCGAAAGAATCTGGAAAGTCTACAGTGATGCCTGCTTTCATCCACTGTGAGCTTTTAGCTTGCTGCCAGGTCAGAAATTGGTATGTGCTTTCCAGAGGGAAAGTGGCACTTAATTGTGCCTGACCAAATGCACTTAGGGGATGTACTGCCCAGTCGTTCAAACACCACGTGTGAGGATCTTCGGTTGGATGTCCAATAAAGGAGGAGTATTCCAAATTCCCGGTTTACATCCATCAGC